GGAGGTATATTTGAACCCAGGCCCCCCTCTTTTGCAGACCCGAGTAACCCCATCAAAAAGCAAAGTCAACATTAATTGAAAAGAAATTAGGAAACCTTGTCAAACCCAGTTAATTTTTTATACTTACTAAACGACAGTGATCACAATAAAACAAGCTGCATTGTTCGCACATCTGCATTTTCCATTTAATCTTTGACTTTCATTGGAGCTGTCTGTAATCCCTCAAACATGACTAATGGGAAACATTAAGCACAAGTTCGGGAACAAGTGGTTTTAATTAAAAGCTGCTTCGTAGAGGCCTTGAATGGCTGGAGTTTTTTTATAATTCTTCAGAGGAGCCAGCATGTGTTTTTCCTTTTATTAGCAGTTATGGACATACTCGGTCAGCACAAGGTGTTGCACATTTTCTGCAGAAACTTAAAAGCAAAGCACTGCTATCTAAACCACATTTCTCTTCGACAACGGCTTTCAAGTTTTGGAGAGTGACTAAATAGTGACGAATGACTGAAGGGGAAAGCTGATGTAAATGGTGGTGTAAATGGAACGAAGACGGCGCCGAGTTCAAATAGCCATATTTAGAAAATACAACGTCTTGTGGGTGAAACGAAATAAATGGTTAAAACATGCTGAGTGGCACATCGGATGGATACGGGAGGAAAAAAGAAATAAAACAAAAAAATCAATTTTACAGCTTCCGACAGAGGAAATAGTTAGGGATCTCCGCTGGAATCTTCATGGGAAACATTCATGACCTTGTGCTGACAGCAGTTTGTTCCACCCACATGTACTGAACTCAAGTTTATAAGAGTTAATGAACACTACTGCCATACCGATTTTCAGTATGAGTGTGTGACACTTTGACCCCACATTTTAAAGCAGGGTAGTCTACTGCATATGGGTGTAATCACACAACCACATCCATTCAGATCATGGCCTATATACGGCGTGTCATGGCCTTAAAATCCAACAGAATGCATATGGAAGAGTATTGTCTTTAGCTATAATCTCTGGAGACGTCGTTTGATTGTGCTGGATTTGGCTGTGAAACTGTTTTATGTTGATAACTGCATCCTATTTTGTTTTATGTTTAAAATAGATTCAACAAATTATTGTATACATACTTTACCCATATACTCTAAGAGACGTAAAAAAAAATACATATTTATATTATAGTACATATATAGTTAGTATTATTAATACTATCTATCTATCTATCTATCAATCATCCCTGTATATATCTCATATATATGAGATATATACAGAGATTATATATAGATATATATAGATGTGTGTGTGTGTGTGTATGAGTGTGTGTGTGTGTGTATAAATAAAACAATAAATAAATAAATAAAAACTGAATGAATTTACATATATCTATAGGTATTTGACACATATATAAAAATCTGTAGCTTCATTACTGAAATGCCAGCAAATGGAAAGCACAAAAACCATTAAATCCCTTCAACTAAAAGTCTTGATGCACTAACTAATATAGTGAATATTTGGAGTGGTTCAGTTTTGTTGATAATTCAAATGTGCAGCACTTAATGAGTAGATGGTTCAATGCATCATCGTGCTGTATACCACAAAGTAATTCTCATTTTGCACCTCCTGGTCATGTATTTTTATGCTCAGATTTTTTCCCATTAGGAAACTGCCCCAGTAATGATACAGTGCCGCATTATATATATATATATATATATATATATATATATATACTCAATAGACAGACAGACAGATAGACAGACAGATAGACAGATAGATAGATAGATAGATAGATAGACAGACATAAACCAACAATGACAAAATACATCTAAAGCATTTATTACCTTAGTTATAGATTATTTATTATTTAGTGATTACATATTTATGCATAATTATAAACACAAAAGAAAAAAAACTAAAAATACAAAAGCACACAACAAAATTACTAAAAATTTGTATTTGTTATTTTTAATGGATCTGAACATAAACTAACAATAAAAATGTTCAATAAGTTTTATTAATTAGTGATAACAAAGGTACTTGCTATTTTAGTGATAAAGATATTGTTAGTTAATGAATATGATCATATTTCGTATAAATAAATAAATAAATACTCTTTTCTACCCTTTTTTGTTTTTTTGCTTTTTTTTCTGCATAGATATACATATATAGCATAATTCATTTCAAAAATGTATATGTATTAGGGATGCAACGATACCATTTTTTCAGAACAGATCCGATACCAAAAATTCTGAGTATCGGCCAATTCCGATCTGATCCGATACCAGCGCAGTTTTTATTTTTTTTTAAATCAATGTAGAATTTCTATACTTTCTATGGGTTGACCTGATGCTGCTACAAAGCACCAGAGCCATCATTATTTATGTTTGGTTAATAGCCCTAGCCACATTACAGGCAAGGTTGTGACAGCACTGAGCAACAGCCAAGTCCAATTTTGCTGCTCTCCACACTTTACCTTTCCAAACTGCACAGGCACTGAGTCTGAAATACAGCTGCTCTCGCCCATCAATCACTCTTCAGTCCACACATGCAGACAGGTAGAGCTGCCTCTAGTGCACCTGTGAGGAGTAAATTCTGCTGCACTGACAGAGCCTTACACTGGCTGTATAGGCATTCAGATTTAAGACAGGTGAGCCACTTATTTTAGTCACTTAAGGCATAGAATAGAGCACTGCAATCTGAACTTTTGGTATCTGCCGGAGACTTTCTCTTCTTGTAATGGTAAGACATGTTTCATGCTGTTTCTCCATAAAGAGCTGCATATGGTTTTAGGTCTGGCATTTGTTCTGTGAGTGCTCTTCAAAAAAAAAAATATTGTAAGTGATGTATTGATGTATACTCTGTACTTTGTCTCCACCTAGTGATCATAGGTAAAAACCATGTCAGGCCATACCATAAAATAAAAAATAAAAGATAAAATAAAATACAACTGAATGAATGAATGAATGAATGAATGAATGAATGAATGAATTTCCAGAACTAAATGTACTAATAATCATAACCTAAAAAATCTGATTTGTCATTAGAATTCCAACTGCTGATTTTTTCCTCAGTATGAAGCCGCAATAACTTTCTTGGGGACCACTGCACACTGCTCAGCTGTGCTATGACTGACAGGTTTTTATGAGCTATCAATCATCTAAAGCGTGGTCTGTGTGTGTTATCGTGTGTTGGGGGAGGTCTGACCCACGGCCTAGCCTGACATTTAGAGAAGGAGCGATGCTCACCGAAGAAATCCCATTACAGCAAAGAATGATGGATCTTTCTCTTCTAAAAAAAGTAATATGCAGCCTGACATATAACTTTTTATAATTTGTAAAAATAAAATGATTACATTCAGTCCTAGTGCTTTTTATTTTTATTTTTATTATTCTGTTCCCTCTTTTAAATAGCTTTTTTTTTTGTTATTGGGCTGAATAGTGGCAGGAGAAAGACTTCTAACATTATTAAAATTTCAGTAATATTTGTAAGCTATCATCAATGGTGAATTATTATCATTTCGTAAAAGGACTGAATATAAATATAAATATATATATACATATATATATATATATATATATATATATTAAGGAAGATATTTATAGAGCACAATATCAAAAAAAAAATAAAGAAAGACATTAATAAGAACAATCATGAAATTTTGAATAGCACAAACATCACACTATTCAGAAATCACAGCATTATTATCCATAAAAATTTAAATACAGTAAGTAATATTCTGACTGAGTTGTCTACAATCAGAACCAAACTATAACAATATATTTTTGTGTGTTCTTATTTGGCCCAATAGCAAAAGAAACAAAATCAACCATAGTGTATCTATGACTATATATATATAAAAAGTGGGAAGAATTACAAAATAATAATAATAATACTAATATATTTTTTTACAAATTTAATATAATACAAATATAAAAGGCCACCACCATGTTAACATGACATGACCAGCTGTGTCATGCATTTACAAAGTGAACAATCAAACAAACAAAGAAGATTAAAAAATAAACAATATTGCATAATGAACAAAACATGAACATTCAATGACCGGATCTGCTGCATATTGTTGAGATTTAATGTGCATATAACATGTAATATGAATGTTTGTAGTGTAAGATGAAAAACACACACATAAAAGGAATAAAATAATTTCGGTGTGAAGTGACATATATACTTATTATAAGCAACTTGTTTTCTTAAGAAGTTGCTAAAAACTGCCAAAAATAAAATGGCTAGAGTTTGCATGGTTTTAATTCAGTGCATTTATGTTGTGATGAGATGGTCATTTTGTGCATGAATAACATACTGGGGTACTAGCAAAATATAATAACGTACTATCAAAACCTGACAATACTGGCTGCAACCATTAAACAAGACCAATAGATGTAAGAATAAAGTCTAAAACCACTGGTGCTATTCAGAAGAATAAGAGATAAACATAAACAAAAACTTACTGACTGAGCCTTTAAAAAGGCACTCAATAGCATTCTTATTGACTGTGTTGATAGCTAATGCAATTCTTTGTTGAAGGGGCTCAAGTTAATCTTATTGTGTATTACTTGAAATGTGATACAATTTGAATGTGGCAAAAGAGAAGGAATGTAACGCAATAACGTGTTATCATGCTGCCTTTGATCAATAGCACCGCTGACCTGATAGCAAATAACCAAAAGGGCAAAGTTTGAAAATAAAAGCTACTGGCTGTTCTCCTGAAGAAAGAAGATAGGTATCCAGCCACCAAAACACCTTGCAGATTTATATAATTCACACTACGTCTACAAGTGTGATCCTGCTGTAGGCCTCAGTGCTACTCATGGCCTCAGGCCTTAAGGTGCATCTCTGAAATAAAGCAAATCAACCAACGAAGCGACGCTACGCTGTAGTTACTGAACAATAAATATGAGCTTGATGTTATTTCCCACTGAAGACTGAGTCATGTTTACCTGGTCCAGATCCCTCCCCTTTATGATTCCCTCTACACTGATAAGAGAACAGTAAACACATAGACATTTGGCAAAATCTCAGCCTCTCTATCAGTCTAGCTCTGATGAGTCTTGGACATTAATTACTGTATCCTCAGCAAAATCAAAAAGCCCCACTTCAGTTCCTGGGTGCAGGCAACGTATGGCAGAACAACGATCTCTACGTGATTCCACCACTTGAAGTCCATTGATTGGGAAGGGCAGAGTAAAAGATCCAAGAGCGCACTGATATGCTGAGGCTGAAGCATTTACAAGCTTGGATGGACTCAACAGGCCGTTGAGTGAAACGCTGGTGAGCTTTACAGTGTGCTGTTGATTCTCTGATACGGGCCGAATCCTGACGTTACCATGAAGATCTCTGGGACTTCACTCGACCTGAGTGCAACAGACTATGGGATAACCCTGGACCCTACATTCACCATGCTGGAGTTTGACGGTCTATGTGTTCTCCCTGTACAAACAGGTACGTCTAACCTTTGGTCTACTGACTCATTACCCAGTTATTGATGCAAAAAGACAGTAATGATTTCTGAAGATAGGCCTCATGGATGTCGTTCTATACTTGAAGATCCTGCTAAAAACAGCTTTTCAGATTATCTGCCCAACCAAGCTAACAAAAGTATGTTCTAAGAATGTTTTGTCGAAGAATTTCTGAATGTTCTTGGAATTTTCCAAATGCACAGTTAAACATTTTTTTTAAGAATGTTCCTATATACATTAAGTATGTCTATGAAAATGAAAAGGACAAACCTTTCAAATATGTAGGTTTGTGCTTTAGAATTGTATTATTTAGAATTTTGTTTGTATTTAGAATCTTTGTTTTCATGTTGGTTTCATATGGTTTTTATACCGATTTCAAATTTACATTTAATGACTCTAATCCATATGAGTGTATATATATATATATATATATATATATATATATAAATATAAATTATCATTAAGGTCTCATTTGTTCACATGTATTAACTAACATGAACATGAACTAACAGTGAGCAATATATTTTTACAGCACTTATTAATCTTTGTTAATGTTAGTATACTATATATATAAAATTTGTAGGAAAAAGATATAGAATTTAAATATATAAGAACATTCTTTTTCCTCATTCTTTTCATTCCTCATTCATTCATTTTCTTCATTATGATAACGAGACATTTGTCTCACCCTGACATTGTTGAAATGAAATGGAGATAAATTGATAGATAAAACAAAAAAACAAGTGTAACTTCACTGACCTAGTTAACAATCCCACAGAGGAGCAGCAGTAGCATCCCATTCTCCAGCCCAGCTTCCAAAACACAATTTATGCTGTTGACCGGCAAAGTTGGTCTTTTCAGCAGGGAAGGCTTGTTTGAATATGATTGATATTGCATTTGAGTTGCATATACACTACATGCACGGTTGAGTTAAAACATAAACACAAAGATAAATGTTTAAAGGCGGTCTGTCAGCATTTGTATGCATGTCTGCTGCCAATGAACATGGAGAACTGCAATCCAAGCCAAGTAGAGCATGTGTTTAACCACTCTCATTTTTAAACTCTTCCATACTTGAGTGTTTAGGCCATTTGCTCACAGAGCAGGGCACTAAAAGGTAACTTCGCAATGACATTAGTTCCTATAGCATGAGATGCTGCTATTTCAATTACTGTCTGGTCATAAGAGGACTTTTCAAAAGCCTATGTGCACCACTTCAACCTGTTCCTGCTTCCCATTATAATCTCATTTTCTTTAATCATTAGAAGCGCTGCTGATTCAGACATACTGGGTCCATCTTACCAAAGCACACATGCGTGGGTGCCAGAAGCATTGTAGACTCTTAATGCAATATAACTGCCCTTTGAACCCAGAGGCGTTCTGTATGCTAGAGCATATTACCTCTCTGAGTGGCTTTAAAGTGCTGTGTATTATTTGCATACATTAGGCTTTATTCCTGCGTCGCCTAAGTGAAGATGTGACGTTCACTGGCTTGGGATGCAAACTGGTGGCAATCAAATTCTGAGCGCAATTTAATGCAGCACATGAGGGAATTGAATTAAATTTTAGCTAACACTGCGAAATTACCTGGGAAATAGCAGTAGACTGACTCTTTTCACTGACCTGTTTAATTAAATGGAGTTTCTCTTTCACAAAGTAATAAGTACAGACACTCTGACGCCGGGCGGATAATCCACTGGGTAATTGGGCACGTTTCCTCCGCTGAGTTGGAATTGCAATGATTTACGTCAGGGATCTGCAACAGGGGGACTGACAATTATTAGTATTTATTTTTCTCAAATGTATTTTACAATCTTGTGTAGAGTTGATAAAGGTTAATAAAAAATTCTGACATTTTACTCAACCTCAGGCCATCCAAGATGTAGTTTGTATCTTCTTTAGAACAGATTTGCAGAATAGCATTACATCACTTGCTCATCAATGTATGCTCTGCAGTGAATGGGTGCCGTCAGAATGAGAGTCAAAACAGCTGATAAAAACATCACAATAATCCACAAACAATCCACACCACTCCAGTCCATCAACTAACATCTTTTAAAGTGAAAAGCTGCGTGTTTGTAAGAAACAAATCCATTATTAAGACGTTTATAACTTTCTGCTAAAACATGAGTCCTCTACCCATAATATTGCCTTCTCCAGTGAAAAGGTCATCTCGTCTGAATCAGGAGAGAAATATGCTTTTATATACTTTAATATACTTTTTCAATGGAGGAAGCATTATTATGCATTATGAATGGATTAAGGATTAAGGCCAGGAGTGACTGTTTAAAGTTAAAATGACTTGATGGTTATGCTTATTAATGATCAAATGGGTTACACTTTATAAGGTGTCCTTGTTACAGTGTAATTATACATTTAAGTGCTGAGTAATATTAATTAACTACATGTACTTACTATATGGTTAGGGTTAGAGTTAGGGTTTGACTTAGGTTTACTTGCATGTAATTATGCATAATTTATTGTTATTATAATAGTAAGTACATGTAACGTGTTGACGAGACTATATACATATATATTTATTAGGGCTGTCAGTTTAACACGTTAATTAATTAGTTATGAAAAATAACGCGATTAAAATATTTTAACGCAGTTAATGCACTGGCCCCGCCCCCAGACCTGTACATCATCTTACATTTCATACAGCTGACTGTTGACAAATATGATGCAGGGCAACATCTCCATAAATGCAGTTATGCCCTAAAATTCAAGATATCGGTCCAAAAAATGCCCCTGTATGGGTTTTTGTGATAAGCGATATCACACCAGCAGCGAGAGCAATCAGACGAGACTGCTGTTTTATATCCAAATACCACTAGTGCAAATGTGATCTTATACAACAGTTCAGTAAATAAGTCGATATTGCGTAATATTTTAAATACAATATTATATGTTTTGCACAATTTTGCAGAGAACATACCTTTAAAGCCATAATAGAATTGTTGCACGTCTCCGAGCAAAACAGCAGTGTTTAATTTCTGAATAAATCTGCGTTTTAACCGAATCATGTGAATAAATGATTCAAAGGCCCATTCATGCAGTAGCCCCTCACTGCAGAACACAAGGTCCAGGGGGCGTGGTTGGATCCACATCTAGGGGGTGGAGATTGGTAGGTTTAGGTGTGGAGCTCTGGGAGATGGGTAGGTTTAGGGGTGGAGATGGGTGGGTTTAGGAATCAGGGGGTGGAGACGGGTAGGTTTCAGTTATATGTAAGGTGGGAGGAGTTGGATCTGGATCCAACCATCTCCATTTACTTCATTCCTGAATGAATCAGCTGTTTGAATCGAATTAATGAATGACTCATAAAGACATTTACCGCCACCTGCTGGCATATTTAGTTTCTTATTTAGAGTATAATTTAATTAAAAATAAAAATAATTATAATTATAATAATAACATTAAAGGGATAGTTCACCCAAAAAATATATATACATTCTGTCATTATTTGCTCACCCTCATGTCGTTTCAAACCTATCTTTTGTGGAATATAAAAGAAGGTATTTTGAAGACTGTTGGTAACAAAGCTGTTCTGGTTACCAATGGCTTTCATTGTATGAATAAATAATACCGAGTTGTTTCTCAAATTATCTTCTTTTGTGTTCCATAGTTTATGTTAGGCCGTTGTAGCCTAAATGTTTATGTGTAATACATTTTATGTTGAATCAAATGAAATATTTCTTTGCAAAGCTACAGTTTGTAATGTCTAACTGATACTTTCTCATTTAACACAAAAATAGCTTTAAATAATCTTTTGTGGGTATTTTCACAGTCAAATTTATTTTGCGATTAATTAGATTACAACATGTAATTAATTCGATTAAAAAACTTTAATCTACTGACAGCCCTAATATTTACGTATATGTATGTATATGTATATGTATATGTATATATATAGGTATATGTAAGAATGAAACCTGAAAAAAAAATGTATCACCATTTCCTCAAAAATATTAAGCAGCACAACTGTTTTCTGCTGTGATGATAATAAGAAGTGTTTTCTGAGCAGCAAATCAGCATATTAGAATGATTTCTGAAGGATCATGTGATACTGAAGACTGGTTAAATGATGCTGAAAATTCAGCTTTGCATCACATGAATAAATTACATTTTAATGACTGTTGACAAATATGATGCAGGGCAACATCTCCATAAATGCAGTTATGCCCTAAAATTCAAGATATCGGTCCAAAAAATGCCCCTGTATGGGTTTTTGTGATAAGCGATATCACACCAGCAGCGAGAGCAATCAGACGAGACTGCTGTTTTATATCCAAATACCACTAGTGCAAATGTGATCTTATACAACAGTTCAGTAAATAAGTCGATATTGCGTAATATTTTAAATACAATATTATATGTTTTGCACAATTTTGCAGAGAACATACCTTTAAAGCCATAATAGAATTGTTGCACGTCTCCGAGCAAAACAGCAGTGTTTAATTTCTGAATAAATCTGCGTTTTAACCGAATCATGTGAATAAATGATTCAAAGGCCCATTCATGCAGTAGCCCCTCACTGCAGAACACAAGGTCCAGGGGGCGTGGTTGGATCCACATCTAGGGGGTGGAGATTGGTAGGTTTAGGTGTGGAGCTCTGGGAGATGGGTAGGTTTAGGGGTGGAGATGGGTGGGTTTAGGAATCAGGGGGTGGAGACGGGTAGGTTTCAGTTATATGTAAGGTGGGAGGAGTTGGATCTGGATCCAACCATCTCCATTTACTTCATTCCTGAATGAATCAGCTGTTTGAATCGAATTAATGAATGACTCATAAAGACATTTACCGCCACCTGCTGGCATATTTAGTTTCTTATTTAGAGTATAATTTAATTAAAAATAAAAATAATTATAATTATAATAATAACATTAAAGGGATAGTTCACCCAAAAAATATATATACATTCTGTCATTATTTGCTCACCCTCATGTCGTTTCAAACCTATCTTTTGTGGAATATAAAAGAAGGTATTTTGAAGACTGTTGGTAACAAAGCTGTTCTGGTTACCAATGGCTTTCATTGTATGAATAAATAATACCGAGTTGTTTCTCAAATTATCTTCTTTTGTGTTCCATAGTTTATGTTAGGCCGTTGTAGCCTAAATGTTTATGTGTAATACATTTTATGTTG